GGTTAGCGATCGTTTGAAGAGGTTGGTTGTTCTGTTACAAAACGTGTTCAGTCCCCAGCTCATCCGGAACAGGCACCGAGGGTGTCGAGTGGGAATGAAATGCTAATTCTGGAGCTGGCGCCCCCTGGAGGGGAAAGGCCCCATGCCCCATTCCGAACCCCCCTGAGCCAGCCAGTCCCCTGCCCTGGGACTGGATCAGGGCCAGCAACCCTAGAGGGGAAAGGTCCTGTCTTCCAGCCCCCGCCTGCCTAGCCAGCCAGTTACTCCCTGGTGCTGTGATCCAGAATCCCGACCCGGATCCGGCCCCACAGGACAAACCCCCCTGACCTGGTGTCTCCCACTCTCCATCCTCAGGCCGAGGAGGTGCTGCAGGAGTTCCTCCAGTCCAAGGAGGCTGTGGCCCAGTCCATCCTGCAGACGGATGAGGCCCTGACGGAGAAGGAGAAGGAGATGGCAGGTACCACTGGGGGGATGTCATGCCGCTGGGGCGGGGGAGAAGGTGCCTGGGCTGCAGCCCTGGTGGGCAGAGTCACCATGGCCCTCCCCATGCCAACCCACCTCTCTCTCCCCATGCCAGCCGAGCGAGGCCGGGCCGAGGCGGCCGAGCGGGAGCAGCAGGTCCTACAGCAGAAGGAGGCTGAGTTGCAGCAGAAGCTGGAGGACCAGGACCGCAGCTACCAGGAGAACCTGCGGCAGCTGGAGACAAAGCTGGAGGACGAGAGGAAGAAGCTGCTGGAGGAGCAGGGCAAGATGATGGATCAGAAACTCAAGGTACCGGGGGGGCCGCGGGTGCTTGGCGCTGCGGGGACAGGATAGGCACAGCCCAGGGAACGGCGCCCCTGCCACCGGCCTCAGCCTGCCCGGGGGTGGGACTCCCATGCATGGGGCAGCCAGGGCGCTAGCAAATGGCCGGCAAGGGGCGGGATACGCCCTCCTGTGGGGCAGGGACTGTCCCATGGGGCAGGCTGGGGATCCCTCTCATGCTGTCGCTGCCCCTCAGGAGCAGGAGGCCCTGCTGAAGGAGGGGTTCCGGGAGGAGGCCGGACGCCTGGAGAACGAGATCCAGCGCCTGCAGCAGCAGAGCGAGGAGATCCAGAAGCCGTCATGGATCCAATCGGCGCTGGGGGTGCTGGGCGATGTGGCCACCCTCGTGCTACCTGGCTTCGCTGGCAAGGCCGCCGGGGTCGTCACCAGCCTCGTCCGGCGGATGTTCTGAGGGGCCCCCGGCCTCCCGCTCGCCTCGCTACCCCAGCGGCCTGTTCACCCGCGGAACCCCCTGCCACAGGACGCTCTGCCAGCGAGCAGCTTAGTAACGTCCAGCAAAGCGTTGGGTGGTTCTGACTGCAACGCCGAGAGCTCCCAACCCCCACGCTGGTGAGGTCAGGGAGGAATATCTCACCCACAGAGCCTTGCAGGGAGGGTGCATTGTGGGAGACGTGCTACTTCAAGATGCACAGGTGCTATTGGAGAGGGATACTGGGATGGTTGGGCCTATTAGCCTGATCTGTGGGGCAGGACCCAGGCGAGGTGGCCACCAGACAACCACACATGGAGCTGAGGCAGCCTTCTGCCCCAGGTACCTCCCCAGCCCCGGGCCGAGGGATGGGAGCTGGCGTGGGCGTCGGACGGGACGCCTCTCTCCCTTCCTTGCAGCCGGACAGCTTTAAACTATGCAATTAAATAAACCTCCCCCACAAACCTCACTCTCATGTCTGGGTGTTTTTGCTGCTCTCTGGTGACGTGAATCGACACTCCTGAAACTAAGAAACATGCGGGACAGACGCCGGCGCGCCGGGACAAGCTGCGAACCCGCCCTGGCTGCCCTGAATTTGGGCTGTCAAGGCAGGGTCAATGCTGTGAGATTGCTAAACCGCAGGTTGGCTAGTGGTTACAGCAGAGGGGGCCTGGAGCCAGGACTCCTGGGTTCCCTCCCCAGTCTGGGAGGGATGTGGTGTCTAATGGTTAGCGCAGGGGGGCTGGGAGCCAGGATAGGGCCTGGCAGGGCATAGAGTTCTCACCCGCTTATTAGTGAAATACCCAGGGAGGTCCTGGCAGTGCAAATGCTGGAGGACAGTTTAAGCAGCGGGATTGGCTGGCACCGGCGGGGACATCGGGAAATGGACACGGAACCAACCCCCCCCCCCCCGCTGTGTGAAATCCCGACCCGGTCAGGGCCCCGCGGAGCTGGTGTGATCTTGCTGTC